CCTGCTGAATCGATTTTTCATGATTCTGCATGACCTCACGGGGTTTCTATACAGCCTATGGCGTTAAGATTAACGATACTTCGTACAACGTATGTAACCGGTATTATTGTTAGAAAATATTTTTGTTAAAATTTCAATTTTAACCCTTTGCACTCGTGAGGCGACTCTCAGTCGTCATTTAATCAGATTCTAAAGAAGGATGTTAATTAATATATCAAATTCATAATTACCCAACGATGCGTGGTATGTCGAAGTAAAATAATTCTACCTCTTAATTTGCATACCATTCCCTATTTACCGTTTTAAAAATATCCTCGACTTTATGGCACAAAGTCTTCGAATTACTATTTTTCTGTAACGAAAAAATCGCCGAGTGCATGATAAAATGTTAATAAAATATCATCCAATATTATAATTAAAATATCTCCTAAACTAAATAACTTTTTATCGTTTGTTGGAAACTATAAAAATTGTAGGAATTTTATGGCAAATAAAATAAGTATACAATAGCTAATTAAAATTGAATAATTTCCTATTGATTAATTAAATCATAGTGCAAGAGATTAAATCATATTCCTAAATCCTACAATAAAATTGTATTATAATAATTAGTTTCTATTACGAATTAGAGCGAATTAAAAATTTGGTATATGCCGAATTTAAATTAATAATTTACTAAAAATCGAAATCTATTTTACAGTAACCTAATATTCATATTCGTCTTATTAATATTAATAAAGAAATTAATTCAAAAATTATAATATTTAATGATATTAAAATTATGATAACGAATTTTAATAATACTAAAATATCAATAGTAATATATCTGCGCTAGTAATTTGCTAAATTAATTAACTCTACGAAATAGAAAATAGAAATTTATTTTAGATATAAAAAGTTAACTAGGTTTCGATACTAAAATTAATTATATTGCCCTAAGACCAGCTCGTTTAATAATACTTAGTAATATTAACCATTTGCACTCGGAAATTCAAAAAAATTGACATTTTTTTTTAAATTAGTAAATACAAAAAATGGTATAATAATTAACACGCAGAATTACTTAATTTCGATACCTCGCGCACTGTCACATCACCTCGAATTTAATATATTAATTAATATCGATCTTCAAAACTTTATTAAATGGTCGCCTTTCGAATGCGAAATATTAAAATATCGTAATATCCATACAAATATTAATGCACTTATATTTTATGTTATATTAATGCAAATATTAAAATAATAAATATAAAATACCTTGAAAATCTCACTGTTGAGATTTTCAAAATCAAAACGAACTGTTCCAAGTGAATCAGGAACTAAATTAAAAAATCACTCACCGCATCACCTTCCTCCTGTTATTCGGATGAAACATCTTCGCCATTTCCGGATCCACCTGCACCAGTTCCTTGTACAGCTCGTCGTTGCTGACCGTAGACATCCGATCCATCTCCACCTTCATCTTCTTCGAACCCGACCCCACTCCCTCCTCATCGTCCTTCTTCACGTGATCTATCAAAACCTCCCAAAGGATAGACTCTATGTAATAGTTGGTGCCACCGACGATGATCGGGACCATCTTCCTCGCAAGCAGATCGTCGATCTAGATCGACCAAAGAAGAAGAGGAACGTTCGAGGGATGCTGAGGCCGGCACGGGAATAAAATGGCGGCGCGTGCGTTATTCGGAGGGACCATGTCATGTTGATCAGTGTATCATGGTCCATCTCGAGGTGTAATTCTGCTTCGTTCGAAAGAATTTTATTTTACGAAGCACTTCTCTTCGAGAATAGATTCTTCTTTTTCTCATAATAGAAGGTACTTAGGAGTGATTGATAGAGGGTGAACGACAAATTAATTTTGCCAAACTCGAAGATCGAAAGGGTAACTATCCTCTTGGAGAATTGTAATTGATATTAATTTATGTTGATGTAAGGGATAATATTAACGCATTAATGACTAGTATTGTACTGGTGTGTCTTTTCATGACTGATGCGAAGATAGAGAGATCAATTGTGTTGCGTTGAAACCAATTTTAAAATTTGCTCGAGTCAACGTATCATATAAGTAAATACATATATTGTCCTATTATTGGATATATAATATATTGGAGTTTTCGTGGCTGATGTGAAGATGGAGAGATGAATTGTGTTGTGTTGAGATCAATTTTGAAATTCGTTCAAGTATAGTGTCCTATTTGAAAATTGAAAATAATCTTGAAATATCAAGTAAATTATTAACACTGAATAAGTAAATAAATATAATGTCCTATTTGAAAATTGAAAATAATCTTGAAATATCAAATACATTATTTATACTGGATAAGTAAATAAATATATTGTCCTATTTGAAAATTGAAAATAATCTTGAAATCTCAAACAAATTATTAATACTGGATAAGTAAATAAATATATTGTCCTATTTGAAAATTGAAAATAATCTTGAAATTTCAAACAAATTATTAATACTGGATAAGTAAATAAATATATTGTTCTATTTGAAAATTGAAAATAATCTTCAAATATCAAATAAATTATTAACACTGAATAAGTAAATAAATATAATGTCCTATTTGAAAATTGAAAATAATCTTGAAATATCAAATACATTATTTATACTGGATAAGTAAATAAATATATTGTCCTATTTGAAAATTGAAAATAATCTTGAAATCTCAAACAAATTATTAATACTGGATAAGTAAATAAATATATTGTCCTATTTGAAAATTGAAAATAATCTTGAAATTTCAAACAAATTATTAATACTGGATAAGTAAATAAATATATTGTTCTATTTGAAAATTGAAAATAATCTTCAAATCTCAAACAAATTATTAACACTGGAGAAGTACATAAATATATTGTCCTATTCGAAATGTGAACATAATCTTGAAATCTCAAACAAATTATTAACACTGGATAAGTAAACAAATATATTGTCTTATTTGAAAATTGAACATAATCTTGAAATCTCAAACAAATTATTAATACTGAATAACGTGTCCCATCATATTAAATCATTTTTTTTTATAATTTCGTAAATTATTAATTATTATTAAATATTATTATATTTAATTACTAAAAAAAAATTATTATATTTAATTATTAGTAATTATTATTAATTTCGTATAATTTCAACTCCTTGTGAGACATTCTGATGTATATACTTAAACAGACAAGATATGATTTTGAAAAAGATTTTTGGAAAATTTTTGACCTATTTTTGGAAAATTATGGTCATGAATGTGTCGATACTAATATTGACAGAAATATGAAATACCATTACTACAATATTAATATTTTAATATTAATATCGGTAATGGAGCGAAGAGTTATGAATATATTAATATTAGTATAAAACGATACGGTACATGAATTAACGATATTAATACGTTATATATTAATCACGCGAGTTCTACGAGGACTATGTTGGGAAGTGAAAATGCAGAAGCATGGATCGGACGGATTTGCAATGGCGTCGACAATTTTACACGGTGTATGGTTATTAATTATCACGCACGACCGCGACGACCATGGTATGCGAGCGATATCGCATTCCACGGACGCTTTTTTCCCCTCTCCTTCTCCTCCTTTTTTCTACTCTTTCTCGATTTCTGGTTTTCGAGGAACGACGCGCGTTTCGAAAGTTGCCGCGATCGATCGATAGTTTGCTGTCTATATACCGTATGTGTGTCTGCGTCTATGGTTTAACAGAAAATATTGCACTATCGTGTAACAAATTTTTGAGATTATTCAACACGATAATGAAAATATCGCAATAATAATAATAATAATAATAATACCGTAATAAGAATATTTAATTGCATATTATATCTAATTTCGTGTGGATTCGTGTATGTCAGACATTGTTTATGTGTGTGATTTATGTGCAAATTTCGAACAATCATGCACCGAATTTTTGAGATTGTTTAATTCGATAATGAAAATATCGCAATAATAATAATACCATAAGAAGAATATTTAATTGCATATTATATCTAATTTCGTGTGAATTCATGGATATTAGATAACGTTTATGTGTGTGTGATTTATGAGAATATTTCGAACTACCGTGCAACAAATTTTTGCGATTATTCAACACGATAATGAAAATATCGCAATAATAATAATAATAATTATTATAATACCGTAATAAGAATATTTAATTGCATATTATACTTAATTTCGTGTGGATTCGTGTATGCCAGACGTCGTTTATGTGTGCGATTTATGAAAATATTTTGAACTATCATGCACCGATTTTTTTAGATTATTCAATTCGATAATGAAAATATCGCAATAATAATAATACTATAACAAAAATATTTAATTGGATATTATACCTAATTTCGTGTGGTTTCGTGTATGTCAGACGTCGTTTATGTGAGTGATTTATGAAAATATTTTGAACTATCATGCACCGATTTTTTGAGATTATTCAATTCGATAATGAAAATATCGCAATAATAATAATACTATAATAAAAATATTTAATTGCATATTATACTTAATTTTGTATGGATTCGTGTATGTGAGATGACGTTTATGTGTGTGATTTATGAGAAAATTTCGATCTATCGTGCACCGAATTTTTGCAATTATTCGACTCGATAATAAAAGGACTGTGATAAGAATATTTAATTTCCTATTATACCTAACTTCGCGTGGATTCGTGTACGTGTACGATTTATAAGGAAATGCACCAACTATTATGCACCAAATTTTTACGAGTATTCGATTCGATAGCGAAACTATGGCAATAATGAAAGTACTACGACAAGAACATCTGAGTTCCTATTATAAATAATTTCGAATGGATTTGTGCTCGCGAACCGATGGAAATAACCATGGGGGTTGAAAAAGGGGAAATTACAATGGGTGTGGCCATATTCCTGAATTGCACCACCGTGAATTTAGGGTTCACAGGATCTACTATATCCAGCATATGATGGGGTGCCATTTTTCTCTCCTCAGGTGTTACTTTCGCGGTAATGATGTCGAGGCCTTTGTACACCTGGAAATTTAGAAAGACAAATTGTTATTAAAATTATTAACCTATGTAAATATATACAGTAAATATCTTATATTTGAAATTTCGTATTAAAAATATATCATAATTTAAATTTCACTTGGATTTATGAACCACATTCATCGTATAATATTAATATCAATTATTAATTTTATATCAATATATCAATATATTATTATCTTCTTTACATTTTTAAATGGAAAAAGTATTGGTAAATGCATGTAAATTATTCCTTGTAATAAATTGATTAAAATTATGAGACTAAAAGTTTCGCGCTTCAAATATGTCAAATTGAAACAACCAATTCGATTTTCAACTATTTTATCTTAACATAAGCAAATGCAATCGAAGATAAAGTGTAAAATCATTTCTTTCAGATTTTGACTTAGTTAACTTTCATAATTGCATAGCAAATATACATAGTGAACCACCTAACTCGACCAACTCGATTATTCTTACCAGGAATTAGTGAACAAGTCAAAATATTTTATCATAAATTCCCAATTTAAAAAAAATAAATTCCCAATGCTATTTTTAATGTTTTCATACACATAATTCTATAATATTTTCTAGTAGGCACTATTTCGAATTCAACAACCTCAAAACCAAGCATTTTCCTTTATGTGCAATAGAATAACAGGACAATAAAAATTTTCAAGCAGAAGATAACAATTTTCTTACATTTTTTACCAAATTAAATGGTCCACCCTGTATGCACTCCATCGCGAAATGAAACGCAGTATCTGCAATGCTAGTCTGGTCCAAAAGCCACGAAACTTATCGGCGACCGAAATTATAGCAAAAATTACAGAGCCACGGTCCTGGGAATTCCTCGAGATCGCGAGGCACGATCTTATTGAACGTGTCACGCGAATCGAAACGTCGAAACCGGCGATCGTATCGCGATGCTCGGTTTCGTCGTCCATGGAACGAACTTGACAATAAAGTGAAACGCAGAAAGCCGAATCAGGAAACGTCGAAGCTCGTGTCACGCTAGTTATCAACGTTAACCAAACCCGCTTCCACTGTCAGGTCATTCTATTCTTTCCTCTGATAAGTGTCACTCCTCGACGAGCAAATCAGCGAAGAGGAAATTGCGAGATGCGGATAATTCGCGAATTTTTCCTATCTATTTTTGTTATATATTTTCTTTTCTCTTATTTTTCCTAGCTTTTTCTGTCTCTTTCTTTTCTTTCGGCTGCAACGTTTTCCAAATGAATTTCACGCATGTGAGTGGAAATGAAAAGAAATGGAATGGAGATGCTGTGTGACACTATGTGAGAGACGAAGAATTAGTGCAGAAGAGGGTATCAACAAGGTGTCAGCTAGCTCGATGACAAGTGGACATTTTCAAGTATGATAATATATATATTTATTACAGTATAAAACGAGTTCCACAGTTGAGTAAGCAAAGTGCACAGACGTGAGAGTGAAGATGTATATGAAGAGGGAATGAGAATGTGTAAAAAGTGGAAAGAAAAGATAAAAGGAAGAGAGGAAAAGGGACAAAGAGTGTCACAGGAAAGGGAAAACAGAAGTGGAAAACGGGGGTAAGACGGAAAGAAAAGAAACAGAGAAATTGGAGATTAGATTTGGAAATTTGGAGGTTAGGTTAGGAACCTGAAGTTAGACACGAGAAAGGGGCACAAACGCCATCTGTAAGATAGAACCCTCTAGCCTGAGTTAAAAATGGCAGAACAGATAAGTATAAGGAGAAAAGAGAATGAAGAGGGTAAACCTATAGAAAAACTTATATAATGTTATTATATATGTGAAAATAATGGATAATAATTGATCTGTGTAATAAAGTATGATAGTAATTGAATGAAATTTAGAGCCAATATTATATTTTTCTTGAACTATAATGTTATTCTGTATCATTATCACATAAACACCTACAAAATAAAATTCTCTAGACCTAGTTAAAAATGGCAGAACAAATAAGTACAAGAAGAAAAGAAAATGAAAAAGGTAAACCTATGGGAAAACCTATATAATATTATTATATATGTGAAAATAATGGATAATAATTGACGTGTATAATAAAGTATGATAATAATTGATTGAAACATAGAGCCAATACTATACTAATCTTGAACTATAATGTTATTTTGTATCATTATCACATAAACACCTACAAAATAAAATTCTCTAGACCCAGTTAAAAATGGCAGAACAAATAAGTACAAGAAGAAAAGAAAATGAAAAAGGTAAACCTATGGGAAAACCTATATAATATTATTATATATGTGAAAATAATGGATAATAATTGACGTGTATAATAAAGTATGATAATAATTGATTGAAACATAGAGCCAATACTATACTAATCTTGAACTATAATGTTATTTTGTATCATTATCACATAAACACCTACAAAATAAAATTCTCTAGACCCAGTTAAAAATGGCAGAACAAATAAGTACAAGAAGAAAAGAAAATGAAAAAGGTAAACCTATGGGAAAACCTATATAATATTATTATATATGTGAAAATAATAGATAATAATTGACATGTATAACAAAGTATAATAGTAACTGATTGAAACTTAGAGCCAATACTATACTAATCTTGAACTATAATGTTATTCTACCTAATGTTATTTTTTTCTTAAACTATAATGTTATTTTGTATCATTATCACATAAACGCCTGCAAGATAAGACTCTCTAAACCCAATTAAAAATGGCAGAACAGATAAGTACCAGGAGAAAAGAAAATGAAAAGGGTAAACTTATGGGAAAATCTATATAATGTTATTAACGTGAAAATAATAAATAATAATTGACGTGTATAATAAAAAATAATAGTAATTGAATGAAATTTAAAGCCAATACTATATTTTTCTTGAACTATAATGTTATTCCGTATTATTAAATCAGTTTGTGCTGTCAATTTGTAATATCGTATGAAATACTATATATTTAAGATATATTTTAATCTCACGCCTTACGATTTAAATTCCGATGTCATAGTCAACAGCAGGGTTGGTCACACGTCGAGCCATCTCGTCCGAACACGTCGAAGAATAACGCGTAACTGAGGCAGAAAGACATCGACGAAAATTAACCGCGAGCCTGACCTGTGTTGTTTACGTTGAATCCTGTCTACGAACCACGATTTCTCACCCGTGATTTTCGTGTTTGAGCTGATTTCCTTACTGAGAGTCTCACGGGATATTGTAGACGAAGAGGTTAATAACGAAAAATTGGCAAAAATTGGAGATGTGTTTAATTTTATTATAGTGAATCGATATACATCTATTTTGTTCGAAATAAAATTATATAAAAATTATATGAAAATTTTGAGATAGATCTTGTAAATGTTCACTCCTTGTACCCAATTAGTACCACTATGGAAATATTTACGATTAAAATGGAGAGTATATAGTATTTAATTCTGTGTGCACTGACAACAATGAAAAAATTAGAAAGATTATTATAGAAATAAATTAAAAAATTTATTTATTATAGATATATTTAAAATTTATTTATTATAGAAATAAATTTAA